GTCGTGGTGGTGGTGGTGGTGGTGGTGGTGGTGGTGGTGGTGGTGGTGGTGGTGGTGGTGGTGGTGGTGGTGGTGGTGGTGGTGGTGGTGGTGGTGGTGGTGGTGGTGGTGGTGGTGGAGGTGGTGGTGGTGGTGGTGGTGGTGGTGGTGGTGGTGGTGGTGGTGATGGTGGTGGTGGTGGTGGTGGTGGAGGTGGTGAAGGTGGAGGTGGTGGAGGTGGTGGTGGTGGTGGTGGTGGTGGTGGTGGTGGTGGTGGTGGTGGTGGTGGTGGTGGTGGTGGAGGTGGTGGTGGTGGTGGAGGTGGTGGTGGAGGTGGTGGCATGCTTCCTTCTCCCAAGCTCAGGGGAATGCTCTGTGTTGTGCGGGGAGGGGGGGGGGAAGGAGCGAGGAGAGGGTGGGTGGAGGTAATCTGCGTGACAGTCTGCCGTGACCTCTCGCGCGGGTCAGGCCACTGTAGGCAAGAGGGGGGGGATTGAAGTCCTCCTCCTCCTCCTCCGAAGGAAGGAAGGAAGGAAGGAACGGGAATCGGGGAACAGCCGCACTGCACTGGACGAGCGCAACAGCCAAGATGTTTCTGCACGGCCAACGTCAGAAAATCGGGGAACGAACAACGGCATCAACATAAACTGTCGGAGGTCCGCGAGGATTTCTCGGATCGGCGCCGGGGGGGGGCCCATGGCGGCACCTCTGGCGCCGCCGGGTTCCAGCGCCGGTCCAAGAGAACTCCGCACGGAGCCCGGAGTGCTTCTGTTTATGTCGTGGCTTCATCTTCTGGGGAAAAAACGGATCCTGGAGAGAGGGACACGAAACCACGCGCGATTTCCGCTTTTGCCCTGAGCTGTCGTCCATATCCACCCGCTGGGTCCCCAGGCTAGGGTGGTGCTGCCAGCAGCGGTGGATGAGCGACGCGCCAGCCCAGTCCGTCAGTACCCAAAAAACGCGCTGCCTGAATCGTGATTCTCGATTGCTTGTGAGGTAGGATGCCCGCGAGGTGGCGGGGGGGGAGGAGGGAGAGGGGGGGAGGAGCTTTCCACGAACCCGACGGCATCTCCAGCAAGAAGGCTCTGATGTCGACGGGCTCCGACTTGGCCTCGGGTAATGCGGTCTGCGAACAATGCCGACCTGCCCCGTATGCGCTCTCGCTCCGGCTGGCCACGAGAGGGCCCAATTTCAACAGCGCCGAAACCTCATCGAGCAGAGACACAGTCCTGTGGCACTGCCCGCCTCCCTCGCACGCGGCAGTCACGGAGGCATACATGATGACATCGGCATCCAAGCCTGCCTCCTCCACCTCGCCGAGCAACGACAGTGCCTGCATCCACTGCCCGAATCTCTCACACGCCCTGATCCCGGCGCTGTAGCTGATGTCGTTGGGGTCCACCTCGGCCTCCCGCATCTCCATCAGCAGCCACAGCGCGTACGGCCAGTGCGCGGCCTTCTCGCAAACACTAATCCCGGCGCTGTAACTGACGACGTCGGGCTGCAGCCACGCGCCAGGCAGCTCCGACAGCAACTCCATCGCGTGCCACCACGGCCCGCCCTCCTTCCACGAGCTAATTTCAGCACTGTGACGGATGGCGTCCGAATCCAGCTCTGCCCGCCGTAACTCTCTCGGCAACGACGGAGCCTGCTCCAACTGCAAGCCTTTCTCGCATGCGCTGAGCGCGGCGTTGTAGGTGAAGAGGCTCGGCTCAATCACGACTGTCCGTAACTCCCTCAGCAACGAAAGCGCCTGCTGCCACTGCTCCCCTTTCTCGCACGCACTGATGGCAGCATTGTAAGCTATCACATCTGGTTCCAATTTCATGTTCCGCGCCCCCCTCAGCAGCGACAGAGCGCGCTGCCACTGCCCGCCTTTCTCGCACGCACTGATGGCAGCGTTGATGCCAACAATGTCTGGCTCTAATTTCTCTTCCAGAGACTCCCTTAGCAGCGACAACGCTTGCTGCCATCGCCCACCTTTTCCACACGCGCTGATACCAGCTGCGCTGCTGATGGCATCCGCCTCCAACTTCAGATTCGACATTTCGCTCAGCAACGACAAAGCATGCTGCCATTGCCCACCTTTCTCGCAAGCGCTGACCCCTGCGCTATAGATGCTGGCATCTGGCTCCAACGCTGCATCCCACAGCTCTTGCAACAACGCCAATGCCTGTTGCCACTTACCGTGTTTCCCGCATGCACTCATCCCTGCACTGTAGCTGATCACATCAGGCTCACACTTCCCGTCGCATAAACGCCTCAATAACCACACCGCCATCTGCCACTGCCAACCCTTCTCGCACGCGCTGATTCCAGCATTGTAGCTGACTAGGGCTGACCCGTGGACTACCGTCGACGAGGCCGCACTCGCATGCTAAGATGAGGATTGCGACGCACACACAGCACAACTCATTTTCTCAATATTGATCGCGACACGGTGCTGCGACACACAACGAAGCATGATGGAACAACAAATCAGAAACAATAAACCTGTCAGTGGCACGGCACTGTGCAAGGAACGCGCTGGGACACGCTCCGATCGGTTGCGGTGTTCGAGTGGGCCCGCCTAGGCGGGATGTCGATCGGACCTTCGATGGGCCTGCAACTGGCGAAGATCGTCAGGTCCCAACCAAGGCCAACCATAATGGAAACTAGCAACGTCTTAAGATATAGCGTCGCGTGAGTGCAAGCTTGCCCAGAAAAATAGACGAAAGAATGCCGCTCAACTACCCAGGCGCATCCCTGAACTCGCTGAGAAACAATGACACCTGGATGGCACGTTCGCTGTTATCGCGCGCGTCACGGACGCGAAGTCCAGCTACGTAGCTGAGCAGTGTGCTCCGTGGATGACAGTGGATGGTCCTAAAGGTTGTGGATGCCATGACAATGAACACCCTAATAATCCTAACATCGAATTGAAACAGGATTTACAATGTCGGTTCATATTTCACGAATGTTTAGACATGTGTTTACATAGTTTTAAGCATCTGGGAAGTATGGGAACTCTGTTTAACATCCACAACATGTTCTGGCATCCGGGAAGTATGTGGCGACATGTTTCCTCTCCCTTGATCGTCGTCCACAACCCAAAGGCCAACAGGTGACACAATCATTACGTGTTCGGGCCGAACTTGGCCAGCAAGACGAGAAGGCCGAACACACTGCAAATAGAATGATGTTCGATGCGTGGAGCACCGTGGAGTCGTCCTGAGGCTGGGAATATGGGGAGGCTGTCTGAGGGTTAGGTCGGGCATGCCCCCCTTCAGTTAGGTCGGGCATGTCCTTCTAGAGGCGGATGTGGGAAGATTTTATATTGTAAATAAAAACCAATAATACGAGTTACAATAACAATAAAATATGTATACACGTATTGAACACAAAACCAAACAAAACAACAAAAACTCGAAAACTACAATGTGTCAACAATACCAACCAAATCGTTCCCATATTATGTTTCACTATTTCGGAATTGTCCTCCTGTGGAGGGACAGGCCCGACGTAACCCTACAGGCGGAATTTGGACGAGAAATTGAAAATATCAGAAAAATGCTCAAACATGGAGTCGAAGAGTCGTCCCCCAACGATTTTGGGACTCGTTTGCACTATTCCTCCTGTCGGGGGGCAGACCCGCCCCAATCTTAGGGCTCTGCTGGCCGTGTGGGGCCACCGCGGGGCCCTCTGGGGAGGAGGAGGAGGAGGATGAGGAGGAGGAGGAGGAGGAGGAAGAGGAGGAGGAGGAGGAGAGGAGGAGGAGGAGGGAGGAGGAGGAGGAGGAGGAGGGAGGAGGAGGGAGGAGGAGGAGGAGGAGGGATGCCCTGGAGCGCTTCGGAGCTCCCTCGGGCCACCCGAAGCTGTCCTGCACCATCCCGGGGAGGCATCCGCCCGTCGGGCATGCTGGGTCGGATCCGTGCCCTCGCACGCGTCGGTCGGAAGAAGTGGGCAGAAGCATGACGCAGGAACGAAGGGGAACTGGGACACACAAATACAGATGCACAAATAACCAGCTTCCCCCTATTTTCCCATGCGTTCTGGGTTTATGGCTTCCCCCCCACTTCCCATATGTTCCCACATTTTCTGGAGAGTCGACGATGAATTGTGTCTGTGTGTTTTGTTCCCTCCTGGAGGAAGGCGTTCGAAGTGGATTGGGCGTCCGCCCACCCCCTGAAGACAAAAAAAAGACAACCCTCGACTCTTGAAGCAGGAAGGCGCCCAAAAAGGAGGGCAGTTTGGCTAGACGTAAGTCGGGCATGTCCCCCTACAGGGGGATTTTGGACGGAAATTTTTATATATATATATATAACTCCAACACGTGTTATATGTATCTATATATAACAAAAAAAGGGGGAACAGACAAAAAACAAAAAAACAAAAAAAAAAAAAAAAAAAAAAAAAAAGTCCCCAGGCTATGTTTGGACTATGTTTGAATATTTCTCCTGTAGAGCGGGCAGGCCCGACTCGAGGCTGGGTCTGAGGTCATAGACTGTTCTTCGCGGCCTTCGCCCGTGGAGACGCTGATTCAATTAAGGTGTCGTGCACAGTGTGATATTAGGTCGGGCACGTACCTCTACAGGGGGGATATTCAAAAATAGTTGTTGTTTTTTACGTGGGTGCTATTTTTCGAATATCTTTTCACCATTGGGGGTATGTTTTGACTATTTCTGTATTTGTCGTCCAGAATCCCCCTGTAGGAGGACAGGCCCGACTCAAGTTTCATAAAGGTTCGATCAACGGAGCCGACTCCGGACCAAATTCTGACTCAAACTCGAATCTGAGGATTCCTCATGGATTCCTGGCTCCGCGGCCCCGTCCTTCCCGCAGGACAGGACCCTGGAGACAGTGCCTGAAGCAGCTTGGGCTCGGGGGATCCAAGAACAAACCACTTCCAACGACCGACGAGTGCGCCTGTTAGGGGGCCCAGAGAGGACGTACGCGCCTATGCACATGAGCACGGCCCCTCGGTCCGCGAGACCGGCCGCGCTACACGAACACTTGCGCAATGCGTGCCCTCGAAACCAGCGTGGCTTCATGCACGTGCACGTCCTTCTGTCGCTCCTGACCTGTTCTGGGGCTTCCCTGGATGCCTCTTGGAATCTTCGGGGATCTTCTGACCCGGGTCAATCCAGACCCGGGTAAGCAGGAAACCAAAAACCGCAATACTGGAAAAAAACAACAACAAAAAAACAACAACAACAACAAAAAAAACTGCAGCGCAGGTCATCGCAAACCCGGGTCAGCCAATAGGCGCGGCCGCCTCGCGGCCACGAGCGGCTCGCGGACCCGGGCCAGCCAGAGGGGGTCTTCGCAGGATCCTGCAGGATCCGGCTCCCTGGCCGACCCCCGTCTGCATGGACCCCCGCCTCGAGGCTCCCGAGATCCCCCGAGACCCTCCCGGGGCCCGCTCGCCGGCCCTCTCCCAGGCCGGGCCTCGGGGGGCCCCATGGGGCGGGCTGTGGCCCGCCGCGCCCCCCGGCCCTGGCGGCGCCCCGGCCCCCGCCCGCGCGGCCTCGCAGCAGTGGTGTGGTCGGGTGCACAGTCGAGGCGTTGACCTAAGGAACCCTAAATCAGGAACGAGGCCCCTAGTTTCCATAAGTTGAACTTCGATTTCGTATCGAAAGCCCAAGGAAAATCCAAGGCAAGCTGCGAAACAATTCAGAAACGCGGAGCCCCTCCCCAACGCAAAGGGTTCCTTCTTCAGGGCCCCGACTGTAGGGGGCCACATGCGAACCCTGCCCCTAGCACCCACGATTTCTGAGGGGGAGGGTGGGGTTCACTTCGCTCGGGAGCTCCCGAATGAAGGGAACCCCCACCCGCCCCCTCAGAAATCGTGGGGGGTAGGGGTAGGGTTCGCATGTGGCCCCCTAAGTCGAGCCGAAGCCAGGACGAGGAGAACCTCGGGTGAGGATAAGTCGAGAACCTCTGAGATCGGGCGGGTAGGACGAAGCCAGGACGAGGATCAATTCGGGCGGGGATGATATCGAGAGTCTCCGAGGTCTGGCGGCTCGGGAGGGCGTCTCGGGCGCCGCGGCCTCCTCAGAGCGCTCCCGAACGCTCCGAGAGCGTTCCGACACGCTCTGGAGCGGAGTGATCTTCGTCCTGGCCCCGATCGACCAGGTTCCAATCCCGGCTCCCACATGAGCGACGAAGCGACGAAAAGAAGCGGGTCTTACGCGAGACGGCGAGCGCTAGGTCGGGCCTGTCCCCTCCTGGGGGATTTTGAGCAAAATGTTCGAAATACGCGCAAAAATACTCCAAGAGGAAATCGTAAGAATAATAATGATAATAATGGTAATAACAATAATGATAATCATTATAATGAAAGCACGAATGACAATGATGCGAATTAGATGATGATAATGAGAATAAGAATGATAATAATGATGATGATACGACTAATGATAACAAAAAGATGATAATAACGATGATAATAGTGATGATAATGAGAACTACGATAATAGTAACGATAACAAAAGACGAATACTGATAATAAGTATACGAATAACGATAATGATAATAAACATAATAATAACAATAATAACAATAATGATGATGATAATAATACGAAGAATAATAAGAATGATGATAATATGTTTTACCATTCTGGAATCTTCCCCCCGTGCAGGGACAGGCCCGACTTCAGGCCAGCGACCTCGCGCCGCGGCCTGCGCGGGCCGCCGGCGTGTTTCGGCGGCCGCGCCGGAGGCGGGGGGGGGGCCCTGCCGCGCGGCCCTGCGACGAGGAGCTCGCGCGCGCGGGGGTCGGCGCAGTGGAGCTCGTTGTCCTGCGCCGCCCACAGCTCGCGCAGTGCGGAGCAGTTCCGACCCAGCGGGAGGTGCCCCCCGTCTCCAGCACGTGGAAGTTCACACGAGGGTCCGATCTCGCAGCGGGCCCCAGTCTCTGCAGGCGGCGCCGTCTGCCGTGGCACACGTCGACACAACTGGCCGCAGACAAGAATGAACGACGCCATTATTCGGGCCCCCATTTGCTTGGCGCATGGGTAGCTCGACCCAGAATCTCGGCAAGCGCATCGGGAGGGCGACGGCCCGTGTGCCCTCCGGCACGCCATGCCGTGCCCAGCCTCGGCCCAAGGCCGACTTCGTGCTTGCTTATGCAGGTGCGTGCCTCTGGCTACCTACCAGACCACCCCAACCCAACCCGAAGGCCCGAATTTCGGGTTTGGGGGGGGGGTGCGGGTTCCACGCGTGTTTTCTCGATGCTCCCCGACCCCGCCCCCACTGGAACTGGAGGGCAAATCTGAGCCTTCGGGTTGGGTTGGGGTGGTTTGGTGAGTGGTGATGTCCTGCGCCGCTCACATCTCGCGCGGGTCCCCTGTAGGTCAAGTCGGGCATGCCCCCCTACAGGCAGATTGTTGGGGCGAGAAATTCAAAAATAGTGGGATAAGATTCCGAAAATGCTCCGAAATACTCGAAAAATCGTCCCCCGAATATTTTTCGACTATTCTTGAATGCTCCCCCTGCAGAGGGACAGGCCCGACCAAACTCTTAAGCCGTCCTGGCGCCCTCTCGCTGGGTACTCCTTGGGGCCGGCTTGGGCACTCCGGGGGCCCCTTGGGCCGTCTCGGAAGCTTCCCAGGGCACTCTGGGGCCCTATATGAGGCTCTCTGGGGGAGCTCCGCGACCGCGCGAAGCCCTCCCGAAACGATATGCCTTGGGCCTCTCTTGACGCTCCCGTGGGCCCTTCTCGGGACCAATGGCGCATCCTGCAAAGCTTCTTGGGGCCTCTTCGACAGTGCTGGGACCTTCTAGGGGGACCTCTTCAGGACGTCCCTGGGGGGGCAGTCTTTGGGCGCTCCAGGGCATTCCTGGGCATCACCAGTCGGGGATCTGCTGACCCAAGTCAATCGAAACCCAGGTCAGTCAGGCGTTGCATGATCCTGCAGGATCCTGCACCCAAACCTGGGTCAATGCGACCCTGGCCCTGCAGGATCCTGCAGGATCCAGCACCCAAACCCGGGTCAATGCAACTCTGGCTCTGCAGGATCCTGCAAGATCCGGCGCTCTGGCTGGCCCCCGTTTGCATGGATCCCCGTCTCTTGAGCACCGAACCATGGATGGTCTGGCCCCGCTGGCCCGCTTGTCAGGCTGCCAGTGAGCGCCTCTCTCGCACGCACTGGCTCTGCCACTGTAGAAGAGCTGGGGGCTGGCCCGAGGACTGCTGCCCACGCAGGCGCCCTCGCACGCGAGGGCAAAGCTCGCCGGCCTGCTGGCCTGCTGTGATGGGCCCATTTTCCACCACCACTACCATAGGTAGGAGAGGGAGGAGGAGGAGGAGGAGGAGGAGGAGGAGGAGGAGGAGGAGGACCTCCTCATCCTTCCTTCTCCCCCGTCCTGTATATGTTAGCGGTGGTGGAATGTTTGTCCATCATGCTGGCCTGCGTGCGTGCTGCCGTGCTCGAGCGGCTGCCAGCCTCCTAGCCTGACAGAGAGGCTCTTCTGTGCTCGCCCGCCCGAATGCCGGCCCGCGTGCCTGCCGCCCTCGCCACTGTCAGTGCGCGCGCGGCCGCTGCCTGCCGCTTGCTGCTGCCCCGGGTGCGACTTGCTGCGGTCGGCAGCTCGCTGCGGCGCGGTGATCGAACTTGGTCTGCTGCGCTGGTGCCGCTGCCGCGAGGAGGGCGCAGGGGAGGACGAGAGAGGCGCGCTGAGCACGTGGCCGTCGGTGAGCGAGCGGCGGGGAGCGAAGGGCGAGGAGCAGAGTGCGAGGAGCGAGGAGCTCGGAGCTCTCCTGGCGGTCAGCCCAGGCCGTCTTGGGCCATCCCCGGGGCGTCCTGGGCCCCCCCCCTGGCGGGGCTCCTGCGCGCCTCGTAGGGGGGCCTCTGTGGCCCTTCTTTTGGAGCCACCTGGGGCCGAAGCGTGCAGGGTGCCGGCAGCGGTGCCAAAAGCGAACGGGCACCGCTGCCTGATGATTGCCGCCCGTCGATGGCCCTGCGTGGAGCCATCGTGGGTCCTCTTCGGCCCCTCCTGCAGAGCGCTTTGGGGCGTCTGGGGCTGCCGAGGGGCTCCTGGAGGGCTCCCGGAGGGGCGATCGACGATCCCCGAAACGTGTGTTGGCGCCAACGTGAGGTTGTCCACCGAAGCACGTTCAATGTGGCGCAGGCGGTGTAACAAGGAGCGGCACGAGCAGCGCGCTATCGGTGGAACTCAGCGTGCTGATATTGAGCAGGGACCGACCGTCAGGGCATTCCTATAGGGCTGCCACGAAGTGTTCGTAGAACTCAAAACGCTCGAAAAACAAAACCACGATTCTCATAGCATCAAAACGATGTGCTAAAACAAGACGGTCGCAGCCAGAAATGTTACAAGATCATGTCGCGCAAACCACAAAGGGTTCTTAGAGCATTTGTTGGTGGGCCTAGAGGCAAGCCAGGGCGCTTCGCCACTGCTCGATAGTACACACACACACACACACACACACACACACGCTCTTGCTTGCCTCCCGGCTGGTTGGTCCAGCACAGCGATAGATGAGCGAGGCCACTAATGAGAATTACCACCAGGCATTGTTGCTGGAGGGGGGCTGCACGCCCAATCTAGAAAAGGGGGGTGCACGACGGCATCCAAATACGGAGGCGGGCAGCAACGACCAGGGGAGAGTGCGGCTGCGAGGCGGCCCGGCAGCGGGGCCACGAAGCGCAGGCGGAGACGCCCGGCGGAGGCGGCGGCCAGGCGACGGTGCGGCGGTGGGGCAAGCGCGCATCCCGGAGACCGTCGAGCAGTGCGGGGGGGGCGGGGCCCTGGGGAGCGCACGGGCACGCCCCGCACCCACGGGGCCCCCCCCCACACCGCACGAGAAAGCGAGCAGGCGCGAGGGCGTCGAGGTCGCCCGGGCCTCGGGCAGCGTGGGGGCCCGCGGCGCGACGCGCGACTGTCTTCGCTCCCTTCGCGCACTCGCTCCGCCCTGGAGAATGGGGGGCTCCCAGGAAGGGTCCGAGCAGGCAGGGTCGGAGGATCGCACCACGTCCCCGATGCTGGCGACGGAATTGACGACGTCGGCGCGGATAGAGTCAGGCTCCGCGTCGAGCCGCGTCGCCGATGCATCGGCGATGCGGCGCGATCCTCCGACCCCATCCACTCGGATCCCATCTGCGAGGCCTGGACGAGGGCAGCCGCTCTGGCCCAGACCGCGACGCGCGGAGCGCGCGCGTCTGCGGGCCCCCGCGGGTGACCTGGACCCTCTGAACAGAAAGCCCCCACCCCCACTGGGAGTGCGATTTCTACCATGGCTGGTAGCGGTCGCTGCCCAGCGGGGGGGACCTCGAGTAACTCGGGCGGGGTGGGGGGCACCTCGGGGCAGGTGTGCTCCGATCGCCATGGCATGCGCGCGAGCACCATCTTGCGGGAGGAGATCCAGGCCCCCCCCTGCGTACGGCAGCGTCTGCGCGCGCAGAGGCTTCTGACACCGCGCCGGTCGCTCAACCTTGCATCGATCGCGGCCCCCATCGCTCAAGGTTGAATTCCGTCGGGCCCAGCGGGGGCACCGTGCCCCTCGGTGCCTCCGCGTCGCAGAATGAAACCTTGCACGTCTGCGCCGGCGTCGCTGGCGCGCCATAGCCGCGTGAACCTAGCGTACGGTCGTTACCCTCACGCCAGAGGGGGGGCAGGAGAGCCCAGGATCGAATCGAAAGTCGGATCGGCGATCGAAACAAATCGGACCGGCAGAAATAGGCAGCCAAGTCGAGAGAAGTCGAGTCGGCGGACATCGGCAGACCAGCAGGCCTCCACTGAGAAACGGGAACCCGAATCGGAATCCCAAATCGAATCGAATAGAAAAGAATCGGAATCCATCGAAATCGAACCGACTCGAATCAAAAGAATGAAGACAAATCCTGAAAAACGGCACGGGTAACGACCTTTCCCGACTTAACCCCAAAGCTAAGGACGGGCGTCAGCAACCTCGGGCTTCGCGACGCCTACCATGGCTCGGGCATCCACCTCCCCGCATATTCTTCTCGGCTTCGCGCGGGCAGGTTTCGAAAATCATCCAAGAGGCTCCCCGACGGGCCTCGCCGAGCAAGAACGCACACGGCCAAGCGGTGCCAAGCCGCCCCCACCAAGAGAGGCTGCGCTCGGAGAGCTGTCCCAGCCGGGGCCGCCCTGGCTCTGGCGACGACGGCCGCAGTCCACGACGGCGTACCATCCCAAGGAGCCGCACGGGGCCCTCTGGGGTCACCTTCGGGGCCCCCTGGGCTGCCCGGGCGGCTGCCGGGGGGGGCTCAAGAGCCGCCACTCGGCGCAGGGGCCCCTCCCCCACGCGCAGGGGGCCGCGCGTTGCGAGGCGGGGGTTGGTCCACGTCCACCGCCTGGGAACCGACGTCCTGGTGACCCAGCGGGCGGTGGATATTGATAGAATCGGGCAACCGGAGGCCCGACTATATATCCATGTCCACCGCCGGTGAAGGTCCGGCAAAGATCGATCCCCGAGGCGGTGGTTATGGACAAATCCCCGCCTCGGAGACATGTCGAGATGACGAGGATTACACCGATGATTGTGTCTGGCTCCAACCTCTCGTCACACAGCTCACTGAACAATCCGCCAGCGTGCCCCCTGGCACGTTGAGGCGTGGAAGAATGCCGAGGGCTGCCTGGTAGGGATTGTGAGCTAAGAAAGAACGGCATCCCCCTCTACTAGCAGACTCATGCGTGCATCTCCTCTACTCTCCAAGGCTACGATCATCGTAACCGCTCGGGGATGGTGCACTTACAGCATGGCAACTAATGCCTACACCCCCATTCCACGCGTGTCCGCTCGGGGATGGTGCACTTCCTGCAGCTAACGCCTGAACTCTCATTCCATGCGCGCCCAATCGAGGATTGTGCACTTCCCGCATGGTTGCTAACTCCAAGATCCCTCATCCCACGTGCACCCGCTCGAGGATCGTGCACTTTCAGCAGTCCCAGGTCTTCAAGACGGTCGAGAAGTGCCACAGGATCCCAAACAGGATCGGAAGAAGCCAGAATCATTGTTTCCCCCTTGTGTTTTTGAATGATGATCGCACTCTCGCTTTTTTGGGCTGCCGTCAGCTCAAGATGACCCGAGAAGCCTCCACGATGGCCCCAAGATAGCACAAGAGGTCCCCAAGATAGCCCAAGAGGCAACAAAGATGGCCCAAGAGGACTCCTGAGGCATCTAAGACGGCCCCAAGACGGCCCAAACGAATCTCCCATGGGACCCAAGAAGGCCTTCGAAGCCTCCACGATGTCCCAAAGAGAGCCCAAGAGGCCCCACAGATGGCCAAAGAGGATTCCAAGATGGCCCCAAAGCGGCCCAAGGTGCCCCCAAAAGAGTCCCAAGATGACCCACGTTGTCTCACAGACGTCTGAAAGGCCCCTCGACAGCCCAAGACGGCGACAAGACTTCCCCACGACGGTCCCCATGTACCTCGTAATAACTCATAAGCACCCACTACGGTGATACTACGGCCCCATAAGGCCCTAAGGTACTGCGAAGGCTGCACCACATGAGGCCAACACACACACACACACACACACACACAAGACAGCTGAAATGAGCTCAATGGCAGAATTTCCCCTTGAAGCATACTGAACAAGGAGAACCCCCAAGAGATCCCTGCAGAACCCAGTTGAGCTCCCTCCCCAACCAATCCGCGTCCTGATCCTTCCCTTCTCGGGTAGAGCGGAAGCATTTTCAAGTGATCTCTCCAACCAACATGAATATCCTCGATCTCCTCGGCGAGAGTAGTCACCTTCTCTCCCCCTCCAACCATCACTCCTCCGCCTCCTCTCCTCGGCCAGAGCGGGAAACTGTCCAAGCTGCCTGCCCAGCCAACATCGTCCTCATCCTCATACTCGGCTAGAGCGGTATGTGTTTCAAATTGCGTATCCTGCCATCGTTCCTCCCCTTGCTCCCTCCAGCTGGAGCGACAAGCTTATCAACTTAACTCTCGAGCGAAAATTGTCCTCATCAGTATCCCAAGCTATAGCAATACACAATACTCAAAGTGACCGTTCCAGCCAACATTGTTCTCGTCCTTATCATCGGCTAGGGCGATAAACTGTCTCAAGTTACCGTTCCTACCAACATCGCCCTCCCCTTCAGATTATTCCTCATCCTCATCATCCTCCTCATCCTCATAGTTACCATCATCATCATCAGCATCATCAGCATCAGCAGCAGCATCATCATCAGCAGCATCACCACCACCACCACCATCATCATCATCAGCATCAGCATCAGCATCAGCATCAGCATCAGCATCAGCATCATCATCATCATCATCAGCATCATCATCATCATCATCATCATCATCATCAACAACATCAGCATCAGCATCAGCATCAGCATCATCATCATCATCATCAGCATCAGCATCAGCATCATCATCATCATCATCATCATCATCATCATCATCATCATCATCATCATCATCATTCGTCATCAGCATCATCATCCTCATCATCGGAATCATCATCGCGGCTCTCCCAAGCTTGAGGACACGAGGTGTCACAGGTGACGGCCTCCTGTGCATCCCTAGCGCAATGACCACCGATAATGCTTGGCTGGGACGGTGGCGGGAATTGCCGCAGGCAGCTAGATAAAGCCGCCTGCTGCCAGTGCCCATCTTTCTCGCAAGCGCTCATGCCCGCGTTGTAGCTGATGACGTCTGGTTCTAACATCGAAATTCTGAATTCCCTCAGTAAGGACAACGCCTGCTGCCATTGCCCAGCTTTCTCGCATGCGCTGATCGCAGTGTTGCACAACACAACGTCTGGCTCCAGCTTCGCTTCGCGCAGGTCCCCCATCAGTGACAAGGCCCGCGCCCACTGCCCCACTCTTTCGCACGCGCTGACCCCAGCAGAAAAGCTTATGACGTCGGACTCCACCTCCGCCGCCCGCATGCCGCGCAGCAGCGACAGCGCCCGCTGCCACTGCCTGCCATTGCCACAGGCACTTATGGCGACATTACAGTCAATAGTGCTGACTTGCACCAAAGAACCAGTCAACCCACCGAACAATTCAAGCGCCGCGATCCACTGCCTCGCATTCCCGCACTGCTTGATACGGGCTCTCACAGAAGTTACACTCAGCTGAACCGCGCGCTGCTCTGCATCCATGCAAGTGCATGCATCCCTCCTGCTCTGGCGGGCCAAACTGACTTCTGCCGAAATGGCCCTAAATGTAAAGGACGGGTGAAGAAGTTGGCAAAGGAAGCGGAGGAGGAGGATGGAGATAAGGAGGCGTGAAAAGAGGTCGACGAGGTGGAGGGCAAGCGGAGAGATCGAGAAGAAAAGAAAAGAGATTGGATAGATAGGAGGAGGTAAAGAGCAGAGGGGCAAGTGGGAAAGAGACGACAATGACAACGAAAACAACAACAACGAGGCTACACACAAAGAAGACGACGATGCCGGCGATGGCGGCGACAAGCACTACGAGGAATGAGACGACGAAAAGCACGACGACGACGAACACCGTCACGAACACGGACGATCACACAGTCGACGCAGCCCAGAGCAGACACACCACTGCAGCCAACCGAAGCAGGGTGGAGCAGGCGTGGCCAGAGCGAGCCAGGCTCACGAAGGACGGGCCGGAGACGGCTGGGCGAGGCAGGCCCAAACGAAACGAACTGGACCCAAGCAGTCCGTAGACGACTGGGCAGGAAGGGGGCTGGGCCCAAGAGGGGCACATGAGCAGGAGCTCACAGGCGGGCTGGGAACAGCGGAGCGAGGTGTTGCGACGCGAAGGGAGGGGGAGAACGAGGGAGAACTGCGGAGCGAAGCGAAGAGGAAGTGCAAGGAGAGGTGAACATGGCAATATGGCCAGGAGGGAGAACGGGGGGGGGGGCGACGGAGGGGAGGTCATAGTGAAGAGGGGGAAGGGGCGAAGGAGGGAGGGAAGAAGAGACTCTACCTTGTATGCAACGAGATGCTACCAGAGATGCCGCCAGATCTCTGCGGCCCCGTAGAAGCAATAGAGGGATGGAGGAGAAAGAGGTGGAATATCGAACAAGAGTAAGAAAATGAGGAGGAAGAGGAAGAGGAGGAGGAGGACGACGACCCGGGTGAGGAGGAAGGGTTAGAAGGGAGGAAAAAAGAGGATGAAAGAGGGTCTACACAAAGGATGGATAACATAATCAGTGACAGTAAGGGCGGAAGGGGAGGAAGGATGGAAGGAGGAGGAGGAGGAAAAGAAGGAGCCAGAGGAGGACGATGATGAACAAGGATAACGACTGAGGGGGAGGGAGGGAGGAGCAGGAGGACGAGGAGGAGAAGAGGGGAGGAGGGGAGGAAGAGGAGAAAGACCAGGGGAGGAGGGGAAACCGGCAGGAGATGGGAGGGACTCGCTGCTCCCTCGACCGGGCGGGTCGCGGCTGCCGCGCCCGGGGGAAAAGCCATCACTCGGCGGCGCCCTAGCAGTCTCCCGCGCACGCCTGAGCCGACGGCGACGGAGAAGGGAGGAGGGAGGGAGGGAGGGAGGGAGGGAGGGAGGGAGGGAGGGGGGAAGAGGGAGAAGGAAGAGGCGGGGGGGGGGGGAAAGGGGAGGGCAGCAGGGGAGGGAGGCAGGGAGGGACGGGAGGGAGGCAGGGGGCGGGATGGAGTCAGGGAGGGGGAGGGAGGGAGGCAGGGGGCGGGAGGGAGCGACGGGAGGGAGGGCCGGGAGGGAGGCAGGGGGCGGGAGGGAGGCAGCAGGGAGGGGGGCAGGGAGGGACGGGAGCCGGGGACGGAGGAGGGGCACGGCGGAGGGGGCAGGGAGGGGGCAGGGAGGCAAGAGCCCCAACATCCATGCCCCCCTCGAGAGGAGGCACGGCCGGCTACTTCTCTCTTCAACGCGCTCTCCACGACGAGGGGAGCCGCCGCGGGGGTCCCTGGGGGCCCCCAATACATCCCGCCCCCTCGGGCCCCAGGGGGGGGGGAAGTCGCGCCGAGCGCTCGGAGGCCCACAAACCGGAAGAAGGCACCAGAGGCGGGCGGGATGCGGGGAGCCAGGAGGTGGGAGAGAGGAGGGGCAGAGGGAGGGGCAGGGAGGAGGAAGGCGGAGAGGAGAAGGAGTGGAGGGAGGAGGGGGAGAGGGAGGAGGAGGAAGAGGAGGAGGAGGAGGAGGAGGAGGAGGAGGAGGAGGAGGAGGAAGAGCAGGAGGAGGAGAGGAGCGGAGGAGAGGAGGAGGAGGAAGAGCAGGAGGAAGAGCAGGAGGAGGAGGAGGAGGCTGAGGAGGAGTAGGAGGAGGAGCAGGAGGAGGAACAGGAGGAGGAACAGGAGGAGGAGGAGCCAGGAGCGAGGGCCCGCAGAGGGGGCCCGCAGAAGGGGCCTCTGAGTTTGTGTTCTGCACGGTGGGCCCCGGGGGGGTCCAGGAGGAGAGGAGGAGGGGCGCCGCCGCCAGCGGGGAGCAGGGCGCAGAGAGCAGGGAGGGTGGGAGGGGAGGGAGGCGGGAGGGCAAGGAGGCGGGAGGGGTGGGGACTTGGAGCGTTGTCCACTGGGTCCTCGCTGCCCCGAGAAGGCCTTGGAGGTACCGAGGGGGAGGAGGATGAGGAGGAAGACAAGGACGAGGAGGAAGAGGAGGAAGAGGAGGAAGAGGCGGAGGGGGGGAAGAGCAGGGGGAAAGGGGAGTAGGGAGCAGAGAGGGAGGATGGAGGTGAGACGGGGGACGAGGGAGGAGAGAGAGAGAGAGAGAATGACCACCAAGAGCAGGAGGAAAGGGCTTGAACAATCAAGGCAAATGGAGGGGGAATCAGCTGAGGGAGAACCAGGGCGAAGAGAACGGGGAAGACGGATACCTAAGGATCAGGAGGAGGTCGGTGGAGGATCAGGACGGAGAACGAGGAGGACGAATACGAGCGTTGCCCCACGATCCCCCGGAACCCTTCTCGACCCCCATCCCCGGAAGCTCTCGATCCTCGCTGCGAGTCGTCACTCGATGGCCCCGGCGCCCGAAAAGCGGCCCCCCTTGGGGGGCCAAGCTCGCGAAACGAGCAAACCCTGGCCGTGATTGTTCTGTCTTGTTCCTTCGCGACGCGC